CAGAATTTTACATGTTTCTTATTGAAGGAACAAGAGAAAAGACAAGAAAAGCAACTAAATTTTGTTATAATATAGAAGCTGATCCTGTGACATTTGAAGAAGCAATTAAGTCACAAGATTCAGCTTTTTGGAAGGAAGCCATAGATGAGGAAATGAGTTCCATAATGGGGAATAACACATGGATTTTAGTGGATCTTCCACCAGGTTGCAAATGGATTTTCAAAAAGAAACTGAAAGTGGATGGCACAATAGACAAATTCAAGGCAAGATTAGTGGCAAAAGGCTATTCACAAAAGCATGGTATAGATTATTTTGATACCTATGCTCCGGTAGCAAGGATTGCCACTATAAGAGTATTAATTGCTTTGGCATCAATTTACAAATTGGTAATTCACCAAATGGATGTTAAAACAGCATTTTCAAATGGTGAATTAGATGAAGAAGTATACATGGAGCAACCAGAAGGGTTTGTGATGCCTGGTCAAGAAAAGAAAGTTTGCAAGCTTATAAAATCCTTGTATGGACTTAAGCAAGCCCTTAAACAATGGCATCAAAAATTTGATGAAGTGGTGCTTGCTAAGGGCTTCAAATTAAATGAAGCAGATAAATGTGTTTATAGTAAGTTTAAAAATGGACAAGGTGTTCTTATATGCCTATATGTAGATGACATGCTCATCTTTGGTACCAACATAGAACAAGTTGAAGAAACCAAAAGGTTCTTGTCTAGAAACTTTTCCATGAAAGATATGAGTGCTGCTGATGTGATTTTGGGAATAAAAATTCATAGAGATGGTGATAATTTAATCCTTTTTCAATCCCATTATATAGAAAAAGTCTTGAAGAAATTTAATTTTTATGATTGTGCAATTGTTTCTACACCTTTTGATCCTAATGTAAGGTTAACTTCTAATGATGGAAAACCAATTGCACAATTAGAATATTCAAGAGTGATTGGATGCTTGATGTATGCAATGATTTGCACAAGACCAAATATAACATATGCTGTTGGGAAACTTAGTAGATACACAAGTAATCCTAGTTCTTTACATTGGCAAGGAATACATAGAGTCTTGAAATATCTCAAGAAAACTATGTATTATGGCATTTGCTATAATGGTTATCCTTCTGTATTAGAAGGCTTTACGGATGCTAGTTGGATCATGGATCATGAGGATCATAAATCCACAACTGGATGGATTTTCATGCTTGGTGGGGGTGTTGTTTCTTGGGGATCCAAGAAGCAAACTTGCATAACAGATTCCACCATGGTGGCTGAGTTTATTGCCTTAAACTCTACATGTAAAGAAGGTGAATGGTTGAAAGATTTATTATATGAAATTCCTTTATGGCCAAAACCAATGTCCCCGATCTCAATACATTGTGATAATGAGGCTACATTAGCAAAAGCTTATAGCCAAGTATATAATGGAAAGTCTAGACTTATTGGTCTAAGACATAGTTATGTAAGGCAATTAATTGTTGATGGGGTGATCACCATAGACTATGTGAAGTCTAGTGAAAATTTAGCAGATCCTTTAACAAAAGGATTAACAAGAGAAAAAGTATATAAAACATCTATAGGGATGGGTCTCAAGTCCGTTGATAAAAGTTACACATGATGGAACCTCGACTTAATGCTTGATAAAAACTTCAAGTCTTGAGTTCAATGAGTAAAGTACATCATATGAATATGACTGCAAGTACTCAATTTATTAATAATACCATCCCAAGTGGAAGAGTACTTGGTAACCGTATGAAATAAAAAAGAGGTTGAGTTTTACTCTTAATAGGTTCTATAACCAAAGGAGTCAATATTGTACTGTACCGGCCGTACCGGTTTTGAAGGTTAACCGAAACGAAATAAGTTAAGATTTCGTTTCGGTCAAATTTCAGGTGTACCGGTCAAATTTCAGTGTACCGGCCTAAATTTCAGATATCGGCCGGTACATCGAAATTTGACCGGTACATTATGCAAGAAGGAAAAAAAAAAAAAAAGAATCCCCAGCCAAAACAACGTCGTTTTGGTTGGGGGGTGGCGGCAGTATACCTAGGCGGTAACCCGATCAGGTGGCGGCAGTCCCTCAGAACCAGTAGGAGAGCCGCGGTGGGCGTCAGATCTGGCAGCCCTCGCGCGCGCCGCCACAGATCCGCCGGAGGAGAAAGAAGGCCACCAGATCTGCACCGAACAGAACAAAAAACAGCAAACAAAAACCAACATATAAACAAACAAACCAAAAAAACCCACACAAAACAAAAAAACAAAGCCAGATCAGCAAGGGGATGGTGAAGATCCGAGGTGAAAGAACGGAGGTGATGGTGGCAATGGTGGATCTGCAGAAGGGAGAAAAATCAAGTTTTTTTTTTCTGTTTTCTCCTTTTTCTTTTTTTTTTTGTTGGGTTTGGCAGCCGCACGGCCGCACCTGCTCCTTCTCCCTTTAAAAGAGAGGAAACTAGGGTTTTGTTAAATTTGGGTTTTGATGGGCTACTCAATATTGGGCTGGGCTTATGAGTTTGTTTTAGTAAATTTCATCCTCAGCTTTTTAATTTTTTCAATTGAGTCCTTTTCTTGTTTTTTTTTCTTCAACTTCTCCTCCAAATTTTTCATAAATTTTTTTTATAACAATAAATTCGAAACGGTACACGAAAAATTTCGGTATCCAGTACGTACCGTTCCAGTAACAAAACCGGTACGGTATTGACTACTTTGCCTATAATAGATTTCTGTTAAAGTGCTTAATGCGGTGGCACTTTTGATGGGATCTATCTATATGAGTGGAAGTGGTGCCGCTTCTAGGAGTTGGGGACTTGACTCTAACAGCACTCATGAAAAGGATACAGGACACATGGCCAGTTTTTGTGTCGGTGGATGTTGAATTCCTTCTTTGGAAAGCTTGAAGTCTTGTGTGTGACATGTGCCCAATTAATCACTTAGAATCGCTGGTTCAAAGCATTAGTCTACCATGCAATTCTGACTAATTTGCCAACACATGTTCACTAAGTGAAAGGTTCAAATCGTAAGATACCTTCATGTATGAATAAGATTTCCAAAACAATTGGTGGGCTATTCTATTTTGAAAATGATGGGGGAATGTTGAAGAATTTTCAAAATATTTCCAGAATTTGGGTTCGAACCACAAAAAGTTGATTCGAAGCAATTGCGCAGAATGCATTTGAGAAAGTGTAACTTTGGTTTGAACCATAATTATATGATTCAAATCATTTACGGAAAATCAAAATCCGAATTTTGGTTCGAATCACATTTTTCTGATTCGAACCATTTACGTCAGAATAAAAGATAAAATTCAGATAAGTTTCTGAAAAGAGTGGATAAAGGAAACATGTCATTTGGAGTTCAAATCAAACCAAATGACTTTTGGAAAAGTTTTCAACGGATAAATTTCATGATAACTCAGTTATTATCCGTTAATAAACTGATAATGACTGAAAAGGAGCGTCTGTTCACAACACACATCTTGGCCCTATAAATATGAAGTTATCTCTTCTTCTTCTTTGTCTCTTGAACCCAGAAATAAATCCTTACTATTATCTAAATAAAACAGCCCCTTTTTGCACTTCGATTGCTGCAAAAATCCTTGTACAAAAACTATTGTTTTGTCGCTTTCCAAAGGACGGTTCAGTGGTTGATCTTGCTAGTGCAAAAGTAAGATCAACAAGGCGCTTCATTGTATCCTACGAGCATTTCGAGTTACTCCTTTTGCATACCAGATATGGTGGGGGCGAAATTAGCCTAAAGGAAAGTGGCATTTGCAACACGCCTTGAAGCCATTTGCAGATTTTTTACCCTATTTCTTCAACACGTTGTCCATATGATGTTATATATTTCTGTACCACCATTCAGATGATACCACATCACAGTACCCAGCTGCTATGTCCTTTCCTTCTCTCTTTTATTTTACATTCTGCCTGGAATGATTTTAGAAGTTGACTAATTTATGCTTTCAAGTGGAGTTGTTAGCAGTTATCAACCATTATTCTACTACTTGAATTAATGGCTTGCCTTATGGTCGTAACATGTGCTATTGTGCATCTTTAACTGGCTGCTTCACTAATTTGAGAAATTTCAATTCTTGCAGAAAGGAGTCAATGCTGCTCAGCAGTTCTGCTCTGCAATTCTTATTTTTTAAGTAGTTCAGTTATGCATATGATAAGGCTTAGTTTTCTTATTTTTCACTGTCCTCATATATTTTTCTTAATTTTTTCACTACCATGTGAGTGGTTTTTATGCGCTTAATATGTAGGATGATAACTGATATATTGTTGAAATAACTTTAGCTGTTAAATGGTAGTATGTGCCTTATCTGCTTTTAGAATATAAATTTCAATTCTACGGTTGTTAACTTATACAGAGCAGTTATAGAGACTGGAGAAAGAATTTTGACCATAGAAGCTGCTATCATTTGATAATATTAATTATCTCCATTTCTAGAAACAATTGGATATGTATGAGATTTATTTCTTGGGGAAATGAGAGATTAATGAATTTATAAAATTAGACAGTTGATTGTCAGTTTGTGTCTTTTCATGTACTTCACCGTTGTTAACCTCTTAGAAATTTTGTTGTGAAGAGCACATCTGATAAATTCATTAGTTTTCTCCTATAGGATATTTACTTGAAAAATACTTTCAAATTATCTATTGCAATATGCCACCTAATTCTTTATTGATTGCTAACTCATTTTGGTTTTTTGCATGTGCAAAAATGTCAGAGACATGAGAATACAGTTTGGGACATTACTAGCAGATATCGGATTCATCAATCTTCCAGCAGATTATCAGGTTTGCACCTTTTGATTCTTGATTTGTTTAGAATCTATGCAACTTGAAGTGGTACTCCTTTGTTCTTTTCTGTTAAATATGATAAAATTATAAATTAGAGTGAACAACAATAATTTTTATGTTAAGCCTATTATATTAGATCATAATAGCTTAAATTATTTTTTGTTCCACTCTAAATTGTTGTTTTTTATTTAATTTTATTTAAAACTCCATCTTTGGCAGCTTTTATTTATCTGAAGATGTTTCTGTGGTTTTCACAAGGATAAAGTTTCTTGGTTCATAGGTTAAGGGAAAAAAGAAAGAGAATCTTGATGGTTGGTTTTCTGATAACTCAAAACCATTCAACTTTTATTCAAATCATTCGGCAGTTGTGAAGGTAAGGTGGACATGACTTTTGGTTGTTTGAAGTTCCATTTGCCCTTTCACTGTTCCATATTAATAAAGTAACTTCGAACTTACTTGAATCTCTTTTATGGCAAAAGACAGCTATCATGTGTTTTCATTGAAATCAACCTTTAAACTTATTATTCAGCATAGTCTTTTATGTACCTGTAATCTTTTCCAGAAGTAAATTAAAAAGAAGAGGAAAGAACTGAAAACTCCATTGTTGTGTATATTCATATCTTTTCTATATGGTGCATCATCAGAAGTCAGTTTTATGTCCTAACTATTCTAAACAAGGATCTATGTCTGTATCATTTGTGGTTTTGCAGTCTGCAGACGTAAACACTGTTCCATTTTTCTGTCCTTCAAAAAGTTTATTTTGTGTTTCTTTTTGAATTTGTCTGCATTGGATAAGAATTTACAATATTTCTCCCACTTGATGTTTATCTGAATGGTTTTAGTGGCACCTTTGCAGGCAATACTATGTGCGGGTTTGTATCCTAATGTGGCTGCCACAGAGCAAGGCATTGCGGGAGCAGCTCTTGGAAGAGTTAAACTAACCAATAGTTCTGAATCAAAGAGTTATCCAGTTTGGTATGATGGAAGACGAGAGGTTCACATACACCCTTCTTCAATCAACAGTAGCTTAAAAGCATGTCAGCACTCATTCCTTGTCTTCCTTGAAAAGGTCTGTAGACTTCTAGATGATGGGTTTAGTTTTTTTCTCATTTGTCCACCAAACTTTTTTTTTATTATTATCTGATGATTCTGATCAATAATGATGTCTGGTTAGTAATGATGTGTTTCTAAGAGAATCCAATCCAATCATTCTAAAATGAGAACTAAACCATCATAAAAGAGGCTAATGTAAAATTGGTGAAGGAGTTGCATAATTGAACGTGAATCAATCAGCTAAGGATTTGTGTTGGTATTTACCTTGATAATACATGCAACTTTCCTTTGATAATATGATAACTTGCAAAGTTGCAAACTTGATATATTACCTCTTTTCATGAAAATATTTCCTTTTTGCCTATGTTTTGTATGTTTACTGAAACTGTTTGTCATCTGTTATTTACTTGTTTCTGTGAGAAGTTCTTGAATGCTATGAGGTAGTTTTGTCCCCACCATAGGCATCACCCTTTTGTGGTAAAATTGCTGTTTCACAAGGACAACTTCCCATAAAAGGGAAAACAAAAACAACTTAGAAGTTCAAGTGCTGAGCATGATATCGAATGGAAGAATCAATATTTTAGTTGTTTAAATTGCAACTCTATGTGAGGTACCTTGTTTCTTGGAATTTCTAGACATGAGTCTAAGAATCTTAGTAGAGGGAACAAATATGGTGGAGTTTGCCCATACCTTTCTGTATCATACAATCAAAGTGAAAGAAAGGAAAAATGCCCATGGCTCTGGAGGGATAACATTGGCATGTCTTGCAAAGGCAAGTTTTATTGCAGTAAAAATGATCCTAACGTGTTAGGTAGCATACTTCCTATTCACTTAGTTTCTCATTGCAATCTAATTTTAACTTTTTCAGGTTGAAACTAACAAGGTATTTCTGCGGGATACAACCATTATCTCACCCTTCTGTATTCTGCTGTTTGGCGGCTCCATCAACATCCAGCATCAGGTATACTCCATATAATTTAGCTTCCATAAAAGTGAGTGAATATGTTCTTTATGTACAGTTGAGTTTATAAAATCATTTCACTCAAATCCATAAACTGTTAGATGAAGGCCCAGAATGGTCTTTTTACTCTTAACATGATTCCTCAACAGAAGCTTGTTAGCTGAAAGTACAGCCATTTCATATAACTTTTCCTAAAATTTATAAGATAACAAAACAAGGGCAATCGAGATTTTAACTATGGACCTTTACATGATCAAAGATAAAGGCTTTCTTTTTGGTAGTAACATGGTCAAAGAGGATGATACTATGTTAGGAACCACACAACAAAGTTTAAGTGGCTGGCCAAGAAAATTATTTTCTATTCCTAAACATTTCAAGTATTTGTCCTCAGCTGCTGTCACATTGTTTCTTTAGAGAGCCTGGAATGATACTCCAGACAGCAGAAAGAATAAAATGACCACAAAGCTGTGGTTTCTTACTTTCTTTTATTTTATTTTAATTTATTTTAATTTTTTTTATCACTTATGCCTTTTGTTATAGCATCATTCTTGGACCAGTGTCTACTTTCCATTATTGGTCTAAAAGAGTGCTTCATTTCCATTTTTATTTTTATTTTTCCCATGTTGTGTACCAACATTTTTGTATTTGCAGACTGGATTGGTCATGATAGATCAATGGCTAAAGCTGACAGCTCCAGCTCAGACTGCAGTCTTATTTAAGGAACTCCGATCAGCTCTTCATTCTCTGCTGAAGGATTTGATTAGAAAGCCAGAGCTATTTTCCTATAGCACAATTCGCTCGAGCCTTCTCATTATGCTGATGGATTTTGCGGCGGTTGGGCGCTATCCCACTAATAGAAATGCATCTTTAGAGTTCATCACCCATATTTCTTTCCTTAACTGGGTTTTCACCTGAATTTGCATGGTTTTCTTTGTTCCACAGAATGCGACAATTGTCAATAATGAGGTCGTGAGGTCTATAGTTGATTTATTGTTAGAGGAAGACAAACCGCCAAAATGATTAGTACTGAGGTATGTTGAAGGGGCATGGTCTTTCTGATATCAACAATTTCATGAATCATTATATTTCAATTATATATATATATATATAGAAAAGGAAAAATAGGACGTCCTGACATTAAAAATGTCGAGATGTCCAATCATAATAATTAATTGTGTGAGGCATAGTGTGCCTTAATTTTATCAAATTTATCATATGGTTATTATTAGCTATCTTGACATTTTTAATAGCAGAACATCTTTATTTTTTTTTCTCATATATAAATATATATGTGAAATAGTATTTATCTGTCTTATTTTTAAAAATTTAAAAGAAAAATTACTTCAAAATTATGTGATTTCAGTAAACTCCTATTGAAAAAGACCTAAATGCCCTAGATTTTTTGGTATTTTCTTGTAATGTTTTATTGAAACAACTAGTGTATATATATATATATATATATATACACATTTTGTTTTCCCATTTAAATCTGATTTGGGAGCCTTCTGCGGGTATTGCCGCATGCTTAAGCAGATCCAAGTTGCTACCACAAGCACTAGAGTTAGTGCCCCATGGTCCATGGAAATTTACGACTTATAAGAGGGTAGTACGGAACAAGTCTCAGATTTTGCAAGCCATTGTCTTGCACGTAAAGAGGCGGTCACCCTGACTGTTGAAAATTTTTTACTAGTGCCGTTCAAAAAGATGTTACATCATGAACTTATATACATTGCCTATTTTCAAATATATATATATATATCATGAACTTATATAGAATTTTGTATATTTATATTTTCATTAATCATAATCTCCTAAAGTTTGCTGACCGAAATTCTTTTAAGAAGCCATAAATATGCAGGTTGAGCCGTTGAGCTTATTTATTTATTTTTTTACATAAAAAAAACTCTTAAAATTGAAGTCAGCTTCTACAAAAATAGACAATTGGTACAACTTTTCTATCAGAGTTGTGAAAAAACAACCCTATTAAGCAGTTAGACTACATGTGGGGTGTTTTTAAGTAGTTAAAAATTTAAAACTTCAAATTGAAGATTTAGAGTTTAAAACTTGTAGTGGATAGGAAAGAATTAAATGAAAGGAATGGTTTTATTATTATTATTATATAATTTATCATTGATTTATAAAAAAAAAAAAAAACTATGTGTGGAGTTCCAATATCTATTTTATAAAGAAAATTTAAAAGCCTTTTAAAGTAGTACATGTTAGTCAACTTAGTCTAATTAAGTATTAACCTCTACTGTAAAACAAATGACATATTTAATGACATTTCGGATACTTTGATCAGGTTTACAACGCGGAACTATGCTCTTCCCAAAAAGGGCATATTTAAAAATAAATTGACATTAATAATTATTTTTATAGGTGCACGTATTGGAATGGTATATGATAAAAATTATACTATTAAATGAAAAGGAAAATGGTCAAATGACGAAAATAAGAAATGTAATTTTTGAAAAGGATAAAATAGACAGTTGAGAATATAGCTTGAATTCCACGTCACCTAAAAAATTTGTCTTAAATTCTACTCCACTTGTATCCCTGGGACTTTTATGATTGGCAAAACCATAAGTTAAGCCCCTGAACAAATCCCAGAATCACTATTAAGCCCTTAGACTTTAATTGATGCATATAAACCCTTGAACTCTGGGATCAAGGCAATTAAGCCCTTCTTCTTACGCCAACTTAACCGCCGTTTGAGACTCGCTCGCCTGGCTTAACTGCCGTTTGGGACTTGCTCGCCTGGTTGCTTGGATGGCAAAATATTGCCATGTCATGCTTATATGACCATATGACAAGGGATTTGATATTTGAGCAGGATTTTTAATTTATTTGATCATTCAATTTTTTTACTTAAATAAAATCTAAATAAAATAAAGTTATATATTTGGGTGAAAATATTATTTAAATAAAATCTTA